AAAAACAACAACTAATACAAAGCAAACAGAATTATATATATGAATAAACATTAGCATTTAAAAAACGTTATAACAAATTCTAAAACAGCAGCCTAAATAGTTATTAACAAATGGAAAAATAGTGAAAGAAAAACAAATTATAGCACAATTTTGTATAAACAAGAACAAGAAATTCATGAATAACCACAAATACTTTCAAATACAAGATTAGATATTTATACACATTATAAACTCTCTCTCTCCCTCACACACACATACATATACACTGGAATACTTAGGCAAGGTAACAATTAGAGAGCAAAACGCCTGCAATTGAATTATTAACATTAAACATTTATTATTTCTGCTGCTATATATAGATTTTGTATCGGAAAAGCTGGGAGGATCTATTGTTGATTGGCTGTGTTAAAAGAAAGAAAACAAAAGAGAAAGGAAAAACTGAATGCAAAAACGAAAAGATGTATAAGTATATAAGTATATGCAAGTATAAATATATATAGTTTGAACAGGTATGCAGATTTGGTGGTAAGTGTCGAGAGTTTGAGTTTAGAGTTAGTTAGAGATCAACTTAACTGATTAACGTTAGGTTAGTTTTCGCTAGGCATTGGATAAGGTATATACACGTACATGGGAATGAAATCAGTTTTAATTTCGAGCAAACTTCAGTTCAAATCATCTACATATGCATCTATATACTAAGTATTAACCTGTTAGGCACATTCATATATTTATGTGTATATTCTCTTTGCCTATGTTGATTTATATTAAACGTTTCTTTTTGTTCAGTGTATAAGCAATTGTCTATGAAATACAACCAATAACAAAAAATAAATAAAATTAAATTAATGAATGAAAATATAAAGTTAAAAATCAAATGCAAGCCACATAGATGTTAAATGTTATATTTGTGTTATTGTCACTTGTCACTGTTCGTTCACTGTCACTGGTCCCTTGTCACTGTTTATATGTTGTCTTTTTCCCTCTCACACACTCTATTCAAACGAAAAAAAAAAAAACTATTATGTAATAATAATTCATACATATTTTATATAAGTCTATGTACCTTTTTGCTATGTATTGTATTTCTATCTACTAAACAAACATACACACTCACACACATATATACAACCCGCACACAGTTGCAAATTATATAGAAACTTTCACACAAGCGAAAAATAATTATAAAAACAATTTTCAGAAAACATTTGTTATGCAAAAAGGAAAGAAAAAAAAAAAAAAAAACAACTAAACTTAAAGGCATTAATTTTTTAAGTAATTAATAAATAATTGTACATGTGTAAATGGAAATTTTTGGAATTTACAAAATTCAAACAAAATGAATTTACATAAAAAAAGCAAAGAGAATGAAAATACTAAGAATTAATATTATGTGCGCTACGTTTATGTTTGTACTTACAAATCTATGAATACTTAAATTTATTAATTATAAATTAAATATACAATGAAATTGCAACAACAGCAACAACAACAACAACAACAGCAACACAGGCAACATCAACACACGTACACTTAATGTTTGAAAACAAAAACAAAAACAACATTGAAAATGAGAAAATGAAAAAGACTAAATAAAATATTAATGAAATAAGATGAAGAAGAAGAAGAATTGAAGTTGCGCTTAGAGTTTGCCCAGCTTGTTGGCCATGTCCACAATCATGTGCAGATTGGAATTGAGAGTCTTGATCTGATTCAGAGTAGTCGAGTCCAGCTGCTTGAGCACCTCGCGCTTCACCTCCGAGAGCTTCTGCGGCTTCAGCTTGAGAACGCCCGCCTTGGTGGGTATGTGGACATTGGCACAGCGATCGGGAAAGCTGCAAATGGAAGGAAGTTGGTGAGTTAACTGATTAAAAAAAGTGGTATTAGATATAAGTTCAAGTCTCACGTCTGCACGGCGAGCGGACTGCCGCCGGTGGAGAGCGCCAGCTCGCCGGGCTTGGGCCAGCGCAGGAGCGCCATAGCCGGCAGCTCGACACGCCGCAGCACAGCCCGATCCACGGACTGCACCTGGAGCCGTGCCACCGGTGGCTTCTGGGGCTGCGGTGTGCGCAGACGGCTGCTGCGTGCGATCGACTGACTGCGCATTTTGGGTGGAGCTGCTGCAAGGAGAACAGAATGTTGAAACAAGCCGGAATACTCTATTCGCAGTACTCGACTAGGAAATACCCGGATAGATAGAAAAGGCGCTGCCTGATTTCGTTAATTATTAAATCATTTCTGTTAACTTAAAGGAATTTAATGAAACTTTCAGCATTTGCTGTTTGAAAAATGACAACTCTTAAATATTTGGAGCTAGTATCTAAAGTATTAAAATAATCGAAACTCTATTAAACACACCTTCCCTTATATGCAAAATTTTGAGATTTTTTTTCCAAAGATTTAGGAGTTGTAATTGTACAACTGGAGGTTGATAGGGGTTTTAGTCGGTAACACAGAACTGGAGTAGTTATCGATTTATTAATAAACTCTATCTGGGCGTGGTATACAGGAAAATACCTACAAGAAATTTCAAATCCTTAGCTCTTATAAAAGCTGAGATCGACGCGTTCATACGGACCGACGGATATGGCTAAATCGACTCAGCTTGTTGCCCTGATCTAGAATAAGTGTATATACTGTTTGCCACGCCTCCTCCTCTGTCTGTACGACACATACATTTAGAGAAAGCCACTATACTCCGATTTCCAGTTGTCGATGGGGGTACAGGGTATAAGAGAGCTACAAATGATTCGAGGCAAGCTACTCACCCAAGCAACGATAGTCCTCAAAGTGCTGGAGATTGAGTTGCATAAAGTCGCTCCACTTCATGTGCAGCACGTGATCGTGTGTGCGCGCCATAATGAGCTGGAGCTGATTGTGCACCTGTTGTATGCTGCGCCTGCCCAGCTCATCGATCTTCTCCAGCGCCGACTCGATCTTCATTTGCGCCAATCTCAGTTGATCCTCGCGCTCCGCCTCCTCGCGCACCTGCAGGCGTTTACGTTTGGCTACTTTAGTGCGTGGCATCTCGAGATGAAAAGAAATGTTCGGTAAATGCCTCGTTCTCGATTTGAGTTTCAGTTTAGATTAGTTAAGGCTGCTGCGCCTGCTGCGTTCGAGCATTGAAATTTTTATTAACTTGAGACAACTTAATTTTTAAATACACTTTAAAAACGATTGAAATATGGGAAACTGAACTTAACAAACTAAACGAACATAAAATACGTATTGTATATGGTTAGCGAACATATATCTATATGTAGTTTTGGATTGTTTTAAGATAGATTGAAGATGACGACGAGCTCTATGGGTTATTTGAGGCCAGCCTTGTTGGCCGTGTTCACAATCAATTGCAAGCTTTCGTGCAATGTGCGGATCTGATTTAGAGTGTCCTCGTCCAAATTCTCCAGCAGCTCTGCTTTAACCTCGGCCAGTTTCTTGGGCCGCAGCGATAATACGCCATTGCGTATGGGTATATTCACATTCGCAAATTTGTCGGGCATGCTGTAAGAAAAGGGAATCGGGATTTAACCAATTGAATAGGTAGACATATGGGAGAGAGTGGAGACGACATTACTTACACCTGAGCCACGATGGGACTGCCGTATTTGGAGAGCGCCACCTCGCCGGGCTTGGGCCAGCGCAGGAAGGCCATGGGCGGCGTGCTGGGCGATGTGTTGCGCTTCTTCAGCATGCGCGGCGTACGATCGGCGCTGATGGCCTTTGGTCGTGTGGCCATTGGGGTGCGCATTTTGCTGCGCGAATTGCGATGGCCGTTCGGGATGATGATGCTGTTGCTGCTGCCGGCGGCAATGGCTGTGCTTGTGTTGCCCAGTACCTTGGGTATGACGCTGCCGCAGGCCGAGCGACTGCGACGCTCGCGGCGCGCACGCGCCGAGTGCAGCGGTCCGGGTGTGCGCATGGCCTTGGCCGAGCGCAGCATGGAGCCGGTGTATGCGGACAGGGTGCTGGCGCTGCTGCAGCTGACGGCGCCGCCCAGGCTGCTGTCCTCTGTAAGGTAGCCTAAATAGAGTGTGCACCAGCAAATGTGACGTAGATGTGGATGTGGTTGTATGTGTGTGCGCGCATGTGCATGTATGTGTGTGTAAATGATGACAAAAATGTTAGAATTAGTAGAAGATTAGAGCAGAGGTTAGAGACCGCGCCACCAAGAAGCAGAGACAAAAATATTGACGAAAAACAAAAACAACAACAAATAAATACCTTCGTCATTGCGACTGCTGGCCGCTGCAGTTACAGCTGCGCAGTTGGTGCTGCTGCCGCCGGCGACGTCGCCGCCATTTGTTGTATTGCTGTACATGGACTGCGAGCCCAGATGCTGCGTCTGATCGCTGGCCTTGAAGTCGCCAAAGTGCTCCAGGTTGGGCAGAATTTCCAGGAAGTCGCACATTTTCATTTCGCGCAACTCCGATTGCAGGCGCAACGTAACGCCCTGCAGCTGCGTCTCGACCATCGCATTGTAGCGCTGCTCCAGATCGTCGATGCTCATCAGCACGGAATCCATTTTTAATTCGTATATGCGTATCTTCTCCTCGCGATTGGCGGCCTCGCGGTTCCGTTTCGAGTTCTTTGTTATCTTGGTACGCGGCATATTGGCAGCGTTTTTCGGTTCACTATTTCAAAATTTAGTCTAATTAAAAATATAATTATTTTAATTTTGCGTTTTTCTTTGTGTGGCGCAAAAAGCAAGCGTCACTCTATGTTTTATCTGTTTCTTTTGAGTTTTTCCGCCTCGTTTGTACAGCTGGCTTCGATAGGTTGACAGCATTGATGTATCGCATGCAACATATCGATAGTATTTTCGACAGTATTCGTAGTAACAGATTGGCTGAACTTAACAGTGCAACTTGAGTAGTCTGACAGTGCTGTTTATTACCGCGAAAGTGTTGGAAAAAATAGTTAAAATGTGTTATTTATCTGTATTTTTATTTACTTTTTTTTTTAAAGAGTAATTATGTGTGTATCAGATCGTTATATTTCATGACAATTGCACAAAAGCAGATTATTAATGGTGTACGTATGTATCGTAATTTGATTTACGGCAAGCACCGTTATTTGCCTGCAATCCTCTGCCTCTGTTATTGCGGCTCTCTTTGTGCTCCACACTGGATGTTAACATTTATACTCATGTTAAAGTGTTTGCATGTCGGAATATGAAATTGGCGGTAACTATTTTGGGTATTATGTTTTTTGTTGCGATTTTTTGTTGAATTATAGAATTTGTTGAAAACAAATTATTTATAACTTTAAATAAATATATAGCGTTTTCATCTTATATACTAATATAAAATACTGTAGCAGAATTGGGGATAATTAAACGATACTTTAGATTGCTTGAAAGCGTCTGTGAATCTAAAACAATTTCTTTTTGTTATATTCATAAAAAATTCAATATTCATATTTCATGGTTAAAATCATTATTTTTGATTGTATAAGTTTTTTATGGTGAATTCAATATTATAATAAATTGATATATAAACACATTTCTTAAAGCTTGTATAAAATATGCGAGGAACTTATTTCTAGTTAATATTCTAAATGAATTCAAATAGGAAAAATAAAAATTTAAGTTTTTTTTTTTAAATATAATATTTAATAAAGTCTGGATTATTACAGTTGATTTCATATTTCCATTGAATGTAGAAAAGTTGAGAGAGCAGTTCGCTTGACGAATAGCTTGAAAATTGCGTTTGAGGCGGAAGGGCCAACATTAGTCGCATCAGCGCCCGAATTTGGAGCACATTTCAAGACTGCAAAAACGCAAGTGCCCCAAAAATTACAGCCGCAATCCTATTAGGCAGGTCCCTCCTCCGCTTCAGCCCCCACTGGCAAACACGCATTCGTATGTTGCCAAAGCAAGCATAAATTGCATACTGTGGCAATTTGCTGGTTGTGCTGCGAGTATCTCTAAAGTAGATATGAATGTATCTCAGTGTGGCCTGTGGTTTATATGTATATAACGTATCTGTTTTTGTATCTGTATCTGTATCTGTATCTGCATCTGTATCTGTATCTATATCTGTATCTGTATCTGTATCTGTATCTGTACCTGTACCTGTACCTGTGCCTGTACCTGTACCTGTACCTGAATCTGTATCTGTATCTGTATCTGTATCTGTATCTGTATCTGTATCTGTGCCTGTACCTGTACCTGTACCTGAATCTGTATCTGTATCTGTATCTGTATCTGTATCTGTATCTGTATCTGTATCTGTATCTGTATCTGTATCTGTATCTGTATCTGTATCTGTATCTGTATCTGTATCTGTATCTGTATCTGTATCTGTATCTTAACCTGTTTAATTGACAAAGCAAAGCAACAGTTTTTCCGCCTTAAAGCCAAGGTCGAAGGGGCCAAGGCGAATGCTTTTGGCACAATTGATATGCGGTTATGTCAAAGGCATATCCAATCGACGTAAACGTCAACATTTTCGCTTCACTTTATTTTGCGAGTGAAATGTGAAATACAACAAAAGCGGCGGCAACAACAACATTGAAAACCCAATTTGCAGGACCAAACGATGCGTTAAGCATACAAAATGCAAAAAGGAAGCGACTTTCATGGATAGATTACACAACGACTTACTTTACATAGACAGAGACGAACACACTCTCACACACACACACACACACACATATATACACACAGGGGGCTCTGTAACCGCAGCTCTTTGGCTCTGTTTGCGTATTTGCAACTGTTGCATATTGCAGTGCGTGCAACGCTTTTATTGTGGCGCCTGTCGGTGCTGCCACATGAAACTGCCTTCCACACGCGGCAGCGGTAGAGGTAGCATCCGACCAGGCGCATCATTACATTTTGTATATATGTATATATTGTAGAACAGGTGCAACAGCCAGTTGGACAGGCACAGCGCAAGCCACACAAAGACCAGGATATACAATCCAGACAGCTAACCAGGCAGCCATATCGAAAGATGTGGGTATAATAGCTGCTGTTGCTGCTACTGCTCCTGCTGCTACTCCTGCAGCTTCTGCTGCTGCTACTGTTGCAAGCATAATAAATACAATTCGAATCAGAGGCATCCTATAGTTAATGCATAGGCTAAATATATCATCTATTAATAATATCTATAATTCCAATGCTAATGATTTTAGAGATATTCTATAGAGATATATGTTTTCAAAATGTTATAATGTGCCTTTATAAAACCTGTATTTTTCATTCAAGTAATACGCAAAGATTTGTATTTTTTTTTTTGGATGGTATAACACATAATATTATTATAATATTTATTTATTAAATAATATTTAGCTTTCAAATAGACTTCAAGGAGACTCCATTTTAGTTTGAGTCTAGTTTGATACCTCTATTAAATCTCTCCTCTGCTTTGTTAACCATAATCTGTAGCTTAACTGCTTGAATTTAGTTACGAAATTCTTTGGGATCAGCTGGTTGCTAATAGTTTTAATTAAGGAACAGTTACATGGGCATCCACATCGTTTGGGCTGTTGGACCTAATTTCATGTACTTCATTCCATTTCTTGTTCTTCCTTGGCTTAAATTGCTTGTTCAACTACCCCGGCGGCAAAGTACACAAATAGCCGATAGTAAATAGGTGTTTGTAAAAAGCAATAATTTGAATGTTATGGCTTTTTAATACAGGCATGTGTAGTGGGTAACCCAGCCCCTAGGCCAAACTACCCTTAGAGTTCAGTAATGAGCCAAATATTGAATTGTGTGCGCTCTAAGTAGGGTGTAAGTATCGTAAACTCAATTAAATTTTCGTCTAGCTGTCTTGTCAATATAAAACACATGCACACGCACACATGCACATGCTTACACACACACACACATGGACACATGGACAGACACCCCCACCGTCTCAAGCACAGGTGTGTGCTCTTGGTGTGTTTTAGTAATTTCCAACCCGTTCCGGAACACTCAGCTGCCTGCAAGTTGCACTCAAAAGGCAAAGTGAGTCGCGAGTGTTCCATTGCCGCAACGTTCCTCGCACAGCTCGCCCCAGCGCATGCAACAGAGACGCCGAGCAGTCGCTTGTAGCAGGCAGCGGCAGCAGTTGCATTCGATTGCCAGCCATCGCCAGAAGGACAGCGACAGAGCAGCCAGCGTCAGCGTCAGCGCTCAACTAAAACAGTCTGAGGTTCCGTTGTGCATCGTTCGCAATTCGCAGTTCGCAATTCGCAGTTCACAATTCGCATTCGCATTCCGCATCTCGTTTTGCACTCACACGCACACGCACACATTCCACACTCGGTCGCTCGTCCGCTTTTGGTTATTTGGACTGTCGGTCGAGTTAACTGAACTTGTGCTAACGGTATAGCCCGCTGTCCGCCCCCCCTGCACTGTACAACCCGCTGCCTTGCGCTGCTGGCTTTTGTTTTTTTTATTCTGTTATTGTTGCCTTTGTTTATTAGTGCGTGTCTTTAGTTTGCGCTCGTTTGCTTTGAGCTGTTTTTTCGTAACTGAAGAGCGAGGCGGACAACAGGAGTGCACGACGACGACGACGACGACGACGAAGACGACTACAACGACGACGACGACGACGACGACATAATTAAATTAAAATTTACTCACACACATACATTCGCGTCGGCGGCAGAGCCAACTAATCACATTACCAGCCATCAGGCATTGACATCGGCGGCGGCAGTTGGCCAACAGCGCAACCAGAAGACATTCACAGTTTGTGTTGCATAGTTTTTGGCGCGCGGCATACAAACACAACCTCTTAACGCAAATTGAGAAAGCAAAAAAAAAAAAAATAAAAGGAAAATAAAGAAAAAGAAAGTAGTTCTACGYCCTTGTGTTCCACTTGAGGTCTACTTCACGGGCAAAGCGAGCAACTCTTCAACTCTTTTGTCTGGTAAGCGAATGCTCAAATTGAAATTCATTTCATTTTAATTATATTACCATGTGGAGTTGTTTGTTAATGGAACCAGCAATTGCATTAGAGATGACAAAATCTGATTATTTATATGGAAATATACACGTATTTAAATAAATAAATATTATAGATCAATTTCAAAACAAAAAATAAATATTAAAAGTAAATTAAATATAAAGAGATTTTAAAAATAAATAAAATTTGTAATATGATAAAGGAACCGAAGTAAAGCGGAAGAAAGCTTTTTGACGCTTCTTAACTTCTTAATGATCTAATAAAGAAAAGTATATAAATATATTTTTCTACTTAAATTATAAAAGAAACAATTGAATAGATATTGTGTATGAATAAAAGAAGGCGAATATAGCTTTTCTCACACATTCATATACATATTTATAAAATTGATCATATAAGTATTTTATTTGATCATAAATTATTTTTGTTTAATTCTACTATCATCGATTTAATTAAATTAAATTAAATTTTAAAGAATATCTTTTTCATGTGTCTAATTATTGCTTTACATAATTAAATTAACCATTTTGTTTCTATTTTTTTTTATTAATTTTTTTACGATCGAAAATTTAATCATGAAGAAATAATATTAGCTTTATTGTTTATAAGACCCAATATTTCGATAAATATATATACATAATCGAAAAAAAAAAAAAAAAACGGATCCCCTTTCCATTTCGAATTATCGGGATTCTACTGTATATACATACTTATAGATACTTTTTATATACTTACATACTATAAAAACTTTCACTGCTCGAATTCCTTAATCTATAACACGCTGAGTGTTTTATATCGCATGTATGGAGTGATTATTAAGTTACGAAGGAATGCCTCATATGCTGCATAGTAACATTAACAAAAGTACAGGTCCCGCCCCCTATAAAGTGTCCATGTGTAACCGCATTTAATGGCATTTTCAATTTCCTGTTGTCCTCCATAAATCGTCGAGCAATTTAAACACCAGGCAGCAGCAGCAGCAATAAAAGCAAAACACTGCAAAAGCAAAAAATACTATAAACAGTTCAGAAATTGTGTTGATGATTAAAAGGTCCTGCCGCTGCCATTATTAACCTCAGCGGCAGGCTACCCCATTGTCTGGTCTATAAATTTTTTAATGAGTGAGCTGCGCAATAAAATTGTCATTTACTCACGCACGCAGCCTTTCAATAAATATTGAAGCGAGTGCTAGACCAGGCCCTGCCAGGACAGGACAGGACAGCACAGGACCGGACAGGATAGGACAGGCCAGAGCAGACCAGGCCACGACTCCATTGTTCAGCTGCATCTGCGGTTAATGTGAGCGAGTTGACTGTTCCAATGCCATTTACTGTCTACATATATATATATTTATATTTATATGCATATACATATGCATAAATGCACATACACACATGCATATGTGTGTGTGTGTTTGTACGTATTATTTTCGTTCGCTGTCAGCGACACGCCCACGGGCAATTATTACGCCATATATATATGAATTAATTTTTATATCTTTTATCTGAAATTCAATTAAAAAACATTTTGTAAGCAAAGCAGATATTCGCCATTCACATTCACCCTGTAAATTATTTAAATCAGAAGTGGGGTAGTTTAAATCGATTTCAAAACTATCATTCTTAAAATTTTATTAAAACTATTCAAATTCTGCTTATCCTTAGCGCTGTTCTCTGTGAGTCTCATAAAGCTTGTCAATGCGTGTCATGTTTATTCCAAATACCGTTAACAATTAGATTCTCTTTAGCTCTGAGTCGACTATTTAACTATTCAAATTCATTCTATTCAATTTATCTGCAGCGCTGCTCTCTGCGCTTCTCATGAGTTTCATATTGGTTTTAATTGTTTATCGTGGTTTCTTAGTAAATAATCGATGTTCTTTATGCGTTATGTTAGACCTCTCCGTCGATTACATTTAAAAATTTATTTATTTTGCTATGATTTGTAATAAATATAAAAAATTAATTGAATTACATTCCGAATTGATGTGTTGGATTGTTGTTTATTTGTGTGTTGGCTGGCCGAGAGATGATTGAATTACGCTGCATTCACAATCACATTCATGGCACTCACTCACAGCAGTGGAAGTATTTGCATAACCTACGAATATTACAGGTAGGACAGTGCGAACGAGAGGAGGGGTGGTCGGTGGTTGGGGGTTGGGTTGTTTACTACGTGCTATTTGTTGAATTTGACGACTGCAATTTCACTAGATGTCGTTTGTTCTGTTCTGTTTGTTTGAATGCCGTACGGAATTAAACATGTTTCAATTAATTTTTAATTAAATGCGCAATTGGTTATTTTTCTTTTTTTTTAGATATAATAATCAACAATAAATAATCGTTAGCTGGCGATTTGAATAATAAATGTTTTATTCTTTTTTGCCTCTAATTCCACCTTTTTCAGTGGCAATGCTGAAAAAAATGAAATGAAATTTGTAATCTGGGTAAAAATAAATTTGTTCATTTAATCTGCTGAATCATTTTTAACAGCTCAATTACACGCATAGTAGAAATGTAATAAATAGAATTTATTGGTGAAGTTTTTGCATTTGTGCATTCGGAGTCTAATTATAAATAAGTACAGATATTTATATAATTGAAAGGTAAATAAATAATAAATAATGATTTGCTTATTTCTTAAATATTAGATTATTGATTAGAAAAAGGAAATGTAAAGTATGCAAAAATATAAGAATAAATAATACAAGAATAATATAATAATAATAATGTCTGTATTGCTGTTGCTATCTTTATAGTTCATGCTTCAGTTTATTTCTCAATCTCTTGCTCTTGATTTTCCTTCGTATTTTTTAGTTTATTACTCACTCCTTTTTCATTACTTCCCACATTAATTGATGAATCATTGTCGATTTTTTTGTTCATTTTAGCGTGGCTACCGTTCTTTGATGAAGCACTTTCTCTGCGCTTCTCATTATACATGTCAATGCATTTCGTATTGCTTTTCTTGTTTTGCTTTACTTTACATTTACTTCATTTTGCTTTATTTGTTCGTGTTTTTATTTGGAATTTTTTCGCGTTTACTCTCACTTCCCTAACTTCGCATATTTCGCTTATCTTCAGTATTTCTCATTACGCATTTCAATAGAGTTTTGATTGCTCTGCTAGTTTTGCTTGGGTTTTTTTTTTTTTTTTTTTCTTTTCCTTAATTGAAATGTCTTCTTCGCTTGCTGTGGTTGTTTATCTCTTTTCGCTTCTATATTCTGCACTTTTAAAGTTTCTTTCTCCTTTTCTCCCTTTTCTTGTTATTCCTTTGCATCGTTATCAGTCCATTACTAATATAAAAAATTTTGAACTTTATATATCCAGCGCTTCTCTCTGCGCTTCTCATAAAACTTCTCTCTTGAAAATTGATTTTCTTACATTACTGATTTCTGCTTTACGACCATTTGCGCTTCTATTTACGCTTCACGCTCATAAAATTTAAGCCCGACTTTGGCTTTTGGACTTAAGCTGGGCTAGTTCCAGTTTTTCATCAGCTTGTCAGAAATTGAATGCTTTTAGTCTTGAAGCAGCCTCAACTTGAATTACATTTGATGCTTTGCTATGACTTCGCTGCTTATTGCAACTTATCTTTTCGCTTTCCCTTTCCCTTGCGCTGTCGCTTTCGATTCAATACCAATCTAAACACTTTTATCGCCTTACCGGATAGTTTGTATGCATAATTTGATGTAAAATGGAAAAATGTTAATCGTTTGGGGCATGACCATAAAGCAGCTTGCATTTGCAGCTGGTTGGGGGGAAAATGCGCTTAAGATGGAAAACTCATCAGACCTGAAACTCTGTCACTGAGCAAGCACTTTTATTTATTTTCCTTTTTCCTCGAAAGCCTTAGCGGACGCGTCAACAAATTATAATTGTATAGCCAGACGAGAAGATGAGGGAGGGGATGAGGGAGGGGAAGAGAGGGTGGAGGTGGGGGCTGCCACTAAGGGGTCAGTTTTTGCGTGCGCTGCTCAACTCATAAAAAATGCTTGGACAAGAATTTCCCATTCCACGAGAGGGACAGAGAGAGAGAGAGAGAGAGAGAGAGAGAGAGCGAGAAAAGAGTACATCAAGTGCCGGACAAGCTGACGTTTGTTGAGTGGGCTGCCTGGGAGTTGAGTGGGAGGCGTGGCTGCAGCTAACAGAAAAGTATGTTAATAAAAATTTTAATTTATCGCCAAGCATAAAAAGTGGTAAAGTGCTGCTCTCCCCCTGCGCCTTGGAGTTTGCAGCGTTATTTTCGTTTTCGCTTTCATATATTTTTCGCTTTTTCATATTTTTCATATTTTCTGTGCGCTTTAACACGCACAAAACGCATTCGTTGCCGCGACAACTCAATGGCCGTGGCTCCCATGGCTCAGCAATGCTGCCAACAGCTGCTGCTGCTGCTGTCAGTCAGCTGGCCTTTGTTACCGCCCCACTGCCCCCCGCGCCCCATTACTTGCTGCCATTGTCCCATAATCTGCCCCTCGGTTCATCGTGGGGCGTGTTCATCAATAATAGTTTCAAGTGGTTTTTGGCCAAGCACGCGATGTGCAACAGCAGCAGCGGCAGCAGCGCCAGCCGACGCGTCGTTCTGCAAGTTAAGTCCAATCATGGCTCATAAGAATCGTGTGCTGCCTCCTGCCGACAGCATTTAAAATAGAGCGCGTCGCGTCGGCGTCCACTTCAAAGTTCGATTTTCTGTATTGAAAATTGGCGTGCATTAGTTTCAGCTGCTTAAAAAAAGAAAAAACTGTGTATATAAATTTATGAGAGGGCCCAATAAAGCAGGAGGTGAAAAAGAGAGACAGAGTATGTCAGAGGTGTGTGTGTGTGTATGTATATGTGAGTTCTAGTTCTCGCTGTACGTTGCATAGAGCTTTAGGCGTTTGATTAATTAGGGTCAAGACTCTGCTCGAATTGCATTTAACTTAAAGTCAAAAAGCTTAAGAGATCTCAATTAAATATCAGAATAAT